GTTAGTAGTGTAGATCCCCAAAGAGATTTCATCCTCCGAACCACAAGAATCGAACGCTAATTATGCGGTATGCCCCCTCTTTTGCTGCTTTGCAGACCTTACCCCGGATGTCTACCAACGATTACATACCACATAGCGCCAACCGAGGATCTCAAAAGAGACGGTAAAATAGGGCCTTGCCCATTCCCTCCTAACACCAAAACCACCAAGGGTCCGAATACAACCGCTCCGTTCAAGGGTTTTGAAACAACCATTTTGTGCAAGACTTTAGCTTTCAAAAGGGAACACATCCCGCTAACCAATTCAATTTAAACATAACCTTATCTCATAACAATACTCATGTGATTGAAACCCGATTAGCCACCCCATTAAATTTTCTATTTAGATTAATTTTTTAAGCTAATTAGCACAAGCAAACTGCAATATCATACCAAGACATGATCATATACTATTAAACATATTCATGAAGACAAGAGCATAAAACACCAATGCAAAACTAGATTTTCAGATTCAGTACCATTTAAAGATTAAAATCAAAAGGACCAATTTAGATTTTTCACGAGCCTGGCCTTCCTATGATTCGCAGAGAATTTCATCTAGTTTCCAAAAAAAGACTCAGAAATAGAATAGCATTTCTAGATTTGTAGTTATTTAAGAAACACTCCAGTGCTGTCCAGATTCGGCGAATGCTACGAAAATCGGATTTTCTTACAAACCGCTCACTCTTTTTCAATGAAACCAATTTTCCTTGAAATCTAACTCTTTAAGGAATTTTTTGACATAAAACCAAGGTCCAGGAGATTTTTCTACATTTTTATAGAATTTTTGGAAGTTGGCTGTAAAATTGGTTTTTCTTGCACAATACTCAAAATAAGAAGATTGGTGAGAAAAGAGGCCAACTAAAGGAAATTTTTCACTTCTTTTGTGATGAAAACATACTAAATAATAACTCAAACTTTTAGAGAGATTGTGTGTCTTTGGAAATAATGTGAGATATAGAAAGAAGAATGTAGTTTTGCATCTATTAAGAGGAAATATGAGTAGAAGAAGGATCAAAACCAAACTCATCGACATTGATCACATGAACACTATTATAACACATCTAAAAATATGATTTTAAATTTTTGATAACATGTATTCGAAAAAGGAAATAGAAGGAGAGATGGTGATGTGGCTTACTTGAGGCCTAGTTGGTTTGCAAACAAAACCTTTTCTTTCCCTCCTTTCCACGGCCAAGCTCACTCTCTTGCCCTCTCTTCCTCTCAGCCAAATAGGGTGTTTGTGTGTGTGTTCTTTTGTGCAAAATGCTAAGGGAGGGGTTTTATTTATACTAAAATTGGTGCAAAATGTCCAAATTGCCCATTGGTTGGAAATGGATTGGATATTTTGGATTTATTTTGAATTTAATTGAATAGTGGATGATTAAAGGCCTCAATTACGCAATTAATCATGATCTAGTTAGGCTTTAGTTAAGATGGAACTAGAGGTGGGTACAAAGTCCCTTGTTTTGGGTGTACTAGCAAACTTTTCCATGAATTCATGGATTATGTTTGAAAAAGTTCTATGCATTTGTTTTCCCTAGGGTGGCCGGCCATGTGGGGTGGACTTGAGGGGATTATTTTATTTTTTTTCTTGTATACAATTAATGGAAATTTCAAAATATAGTGTATAAAATAGGTTTAAAGGTACAAGTATATAATAGTACTAATTTGGGGTCAATTAGTAATTTAATAAAAATATGAGGGCTTTGGGTTAAATTTATGAATTGGAACATTTATTTAAGTGTAGAATTAAACTAAATTAAGGTTAGAGAATCTAATTCGGTTTAGATTTCTTTTTTCAAATAAAAAGCCTATCAACCAACGAGCATAATGATAACCGGAAAAATCTAGGGTTTTAAGTGGTAATTCCATAGTTAGGGAGTCAATTAATCAGTATTAGGATATTAGAAATGATTCCTATGTTACCGAAATCGATTAGGGGTTGCGAGTTTTTGCTTCTAGGATTAAAGTTGAAATTATTTAGGAAATCAAGGGTCTTCATTACAATATTCCAAAAGTAAGGGATTTTTAAGAAAATAAAATTTTCAGGGGCCTCACAAGATTTACCAAGGTATTCACCCCCTCTTTTCAAAACAATACATTTTCCATGTTTAAGTATGAAACAATGTTCAATGCAAGATGTATGAGTAATTGGTTTCAATTCACCTAATCCTCATGCAATTTCTACAACAATTTAAGCTATCCTCTACCGATAACCCAAAATAGATAATTCTATTCAACAGATAATTTCCAACAAAAGATATAATCTCATCATTTTCAAAATATGAGTGATATTACATATCCAACTCCACCATCATTATCAACATACACATTCGTTCTCAAAACCCAACATCATTTTCCATTTTCTTTCACAAAACCAAATATCCATGATTTTAGAATAAAATCACCATTACTTTCAAAATCAATTTTAAGTAATGAAATCCACTATTTCAACATATCTCAACCATAAACACATCCACACTACATTTCTCAAGAACCCATTTGAAAACCCCTCTTTTACATTTCAAAATCAAACCCTAGGTTTAACCCAAAATCTCCAAAATCACTAGATTCTTATAGTGGACAAATAACTAAGATAAAAATCATACCAAAGGTTGAAGAAATCCATACCTCAATATTAGAAAACAAGAGAGAGCGAGGGTTGAAATCTGGTGGAGCTGAAAACGCAATTTTCTCTGATTAGAACGAAGCTTGATACGAGCTCTATATTTTTCTCCAAAGGACTAAGGTGAAGAAATCAATGGATGACGAAGTATTTGGGACTTTAAGACAAGAACTAGAGAGAGTGTGTGAAGAACTAGGGTTTTTGGAATGTTTTAGAGAGAGAGAGAGAGAGAGAGAGAGAAAGGAAGTGAAAAGTGATTCCGAAAACCCTTTTCCTGAATTGATATACGTGTAGATCGCTTAAGCGACCAAAACACCGCTTGAGCGTCAAACATAAAATGGTGACACTGTTCAAGCGACCAAAAACACAGCTCGATCGCACAATGACCCCCTCCTAGAAGCTCAAACCTGTAAAAGATAGCTCGACCGCAAGAAAGACCGCTCAAGTGAAGATATTCTACTTCTAGGATTTTTGTAGACTATAAAAGACCGCCCGAGCACAACAAAGACCGCTCAAGTGAACAAGCAAAAATCTGGACAACTCTTTTGAAAAACTAACTCCTACCCTATTTCAAACATAATAATAACTCCCATATAACTAAACTCAACTAGCAACAAGATGAAAATGAAATGAAGTTGAGGACATGAATTCCCGAATTCAAAAGAAAAAAATGGGTCGGGTCTAAATCGGAATTGTTATAATCTTCCCCCGTTAAGGAATTTTGTCCCTGAAATTTAACTCAAACCAAAAAATCACCGGATTTAAATCAAACCACTGATCATCCATACTTGTAACAATGATAAACAGAGTCTTTCAATACCAAATACTACAATTAAACTTTCCAAAACATTTACAATGTTTACATTTCACAACATGAATAAAATTTTCAATACAAGTCTCAAACATTAACAAATAGATCCGGATACTTCTCACAGACTTCTATCTCACGCTCCCAAGTCACCTTCTCAACCCATGGTGTCGTCACAACACCTTAACCAATGGAATAGTCTTGCCTCGCAAGACCTGGTCTCGATTATCTAAACCCCGTACTGGTCTCTCCTCATACAAGGCATCCTCATCTACCTCTAATTCGATCCAATCTAACATGTGTGAAGGATCAAGTTCATCCTTCTGGAGCATACTGTAGCACGCGCCCGCGAGGGACCCCGCTACTACAGTTCGGACTCGAATTTGTGTCACGGTTCTTAATCTTGAACCAAAGAGTCCAAATCTGGCAAATTGTTTTGAGAAAACAGATTTTAGGAAAGAAGTGCCAAGCATGGACTGCTTTGCCAGATACAGAGTCGCCACCTAAATATTTTTTATGGGGGAATTTGGGAAACCCTGAATCGGTGCCGAAGGCCACATGTCCATCATCACCAGAGTTGTCTCGGCTCGGGAGCTTGGGTACAATCGGAGAAGGTCAGCTATGAGCACCCCCTTTCGCCCGGTCTGAAGACCGGCCTCTACTAACCATGATATTCGTTTTTGAAAACTTTATGTGTTCTTATTCCATTTTATTAGCCTAGGTTTACTATGTTATGCGCACAGCAAACAAGTATAGACTAGATTGCCTAATTTGGAAAAAAAACATTGCATATCCGTTTGTTTTGAAAGGCGCTTTGGAATTTGCTACTCGCAAGTAGGCTAAAACACGGATTTCAACGAGTTTTTCCAACTCAAACAATCCAACCTTCACCCACACCAAAATATTGTTTGAAACATCAAAAAGAAACTATATCCATAAATTATAAATATTCAACAATTGTCTATACATTCCAAACATTCAAAAACTATATCCTTAAGTTCTAAACTGTACAAAAAAGTTTAAACCGCCCAAAACTATGCATATCAAACTTTCTAAACATATCGACAACTATTAAGAGATTATTACCGACAACAGTTCTTATAGCAGTTGCAGTTGCAGTTGCAGCTGCAGCAAATCCACTTGCTCTTATCACAGGGACAAGGATGCCCAATGTATGTGTTAAGGAACCTAAACCTGTGGCAATAGCTGGTGCAACTAACCCTGTTGCATTTCTTGTCTACATGACATAGGAAACTTCACGTAAGTACAAAAACCAACGACTCAGGGATAAAAATATTTCTTGAGGTATTAAGAAATGATCAAGAAATTTTAAAACATCAACAAAACATTTCCAAAATTAATAAGATAATTCAATGGCTCCATAAAAGCAATGTCATAATGAAAAATTAGCAAAAATTCAAGATCTCAATAGTCGCAACGTATATGCAAATAAAATCCACAAATAGCAAAAATTCAAGATCTTCATAACCATTGCAAGAGCATCAACTATTTTAGGAGCATCAACTACAGGTATTTATAAGAACTAAGGTTTAAAAAAAAAAAAAACTCAACCATTTCAGGAGCATCAACTATAAGTAAATATTTGTAAAAGATCATACACAATAATGACTCTACAAGAATCAAGTAATGCTCCCTTAAACCAAGAAATCATGAAAGGTGAAAAATGTGAGACCATTCCCAAATGAAAGAAACTTAACTAATTAATGAAACTGCCACTACAAACAAAAAAAATCCCCCCCCCCTATTAAAGAAGCATCCACTAAAGAAAAAGCATAAGCAAATTGTGCACGAGTTACCAACTGATTATCACTTATCATTTTGTTTTCTTGCACAAAGTAAGTATATGGGAACACAAGTATATAAATAATCCATTTCAGAGCTCTAGTATTTCATTAAATATTTAGGATACACATACTAATTAATAAATGCCTAACAAATCACATATCAAGAGTCAAGACCTTGTTAGTTTAAAAGGTGCAAGGCAGCGCACAACACACCCTAAGATAACTAAAAGTCATCCTGTGCAATATATTCAAGTTTCAAGGTGAACCAAAAGAATCAAAGAATCCACATTTTGCAAAATTATTTATGCTTGAATAGGCTTGTGAACAATAAAGAAAGAGGAATTACCTGAGCTGAACCTATACTCTCACGATGGAACTGACATATTTTTCCCATAGCAGAAACAACATTATCATATGCCATTATGTTTTCAGGTTACAAGGCATTAGGGTCCCTTATCACAACATTTAACGTTGAAAAAGCCTTTGAACAAGGTATAAAGAACAACTATCAATTCAAAGGAAATATGAAGGAAACCAACTCCCAAAATGTGGAAGCAGATTATACCTAAAACAAGAGGTTTAAAAACAGAACCACCAAATTCTGCACAAATGCCAAGTCCATATACAGTAGCCTGAAAGTAAACATGTTTCAAAAGTGATCAACAGCAAAGAAACTTAGGGATTATACCAAATATAAAGAGAAACTATAAATTCAAAGGAAATATGAAGGAAATCAACTCCCAAAATGTGGAAGCAGATTATACCTAAACAAGAGGTTTAAAAATAGAACCACCAAATTTCTGCACAAATGCCAAGTCCATATACAGTAGCCTGAAAATAAACATGTTTCAAAAGTGATCAACAGCAAAGAAACTTAGGGATTAAACCAAATATTGAGTAGTTTGTGCAGACCTGCCAGACATCTAGGTTCATGTCATTGCAAGCTTCCAAAAAGAAAGGAAGATATGTATCATAATACTTGTTCAACACATGTTCAAATTATATTGGATAAATGGCCACAATAGCAATCAATGCATCTACATAAATGTTTTGAAAGGAACATTTACTTCAGAGCTGCTTCATGACACTGCTCTGCAACATCATCAAAGATGCAAATTGCTATCCTTCTCTCCTCATCTGTTTTATCCTTCCCCTGCAATTGAGACAAGTAGGCAAGTAATGAAGCATGATGTAACAGAGATGCTCGCACAAAATTCAACATTAACAGAATGATGAATAGAAGAGTTACAAAAGACTATCATATGGGTACACAATACAACAAACCAATGAGCATATCAAAGCTCGATTAAACATAAAAGATACATAAAACATGAATATGTAGCTTGAAGCAGAACTTACCCACATAGGCGTAATATATGATGACAGGTCATTAAAGAAGGGCAAGAAAGAGGCCTTAAATGTTTTATCAAAGTTCCCAAGATTTCACTTACCTGAATCAGGAAATCCATTTGTGAGGCAAAAAATGAAATTAAATTTTATTAGAACCATATAATAAAAAGATGAACATGTAATCCATGACACTAAAAAATGATTAGTGGAAGACAAACTTGATCAAAAACTTCTTCCTCTTGCTCATTTTCCTCTCTTAGTATTTCCCCATCCTTAGCATTGAAGTCTTCAGCTTTGGCCCTATCTACTCTCTCCTTTTCTACTTGAGCTGGCTGTGATCACCTATTTTATCTCAACCACAATGCTCTTGACCTGGCTTTCATCCTGGAGAGGTCCAAAGATCTGAAAGCAAAAGTACAAATACAATTGAAAACTTCAAAATGAAATGTACAAGATAAGAAAGCACAAATACAACTAATTCACTACCAAAGAACAAGGTTGTGTGTTCTGTACATCACAAATTTACATAACTTGATAATGTCAACAGCTATGTGTTACCAGAAAACGCTAATACCCAAGCAAATTACGTATTGGTATGCATGCTTGCTCCGAAACATGGTACACTTCCGTTCCAAAAATGGTAAATTTAGTAATCCGAAATGATCCCAAAAATCTTTTTTAATATATTTCCTTAAATGTTACCTTAAGGGGAAAAAAAAATCAAAATTATTAAATGTTACCTTAAGAGGAAAAAAAAATTGACAAGGCCGAAGACTCAGACAAACATGCAAGACAAACAAGATATGCGCCCGAAGGCAGGGGCAAAATGCAAGATAATGCACAGAGCCAGACATAACTTAAGATCATGCATAGAAAACTATAACGAAGCACACATGCGACAATTTTAAGCTAGCACACACCGAACTACACTACAATGCAGAAGGGATGTAAGAGAATCATGTAATTCTCAATACGTTTCACTAGGAGGATATAATACATGTGCGGCTCGTCTGGTTGCACCAGCCTCAAACGAACCGTACATACAATATCGTGCCTGCAAAGAAAACAAACTTAACAGGTACAGTATTGTTAACAACATGCATAATAGTGTACTCGAAATGCGTGACAACGCAAAGCGAGTGGGGAGTATAACAATGCCGCGAAGGTACAGATGTGTAAGTGGAACATGCGGTCTACGCAGGCAATGAGTTTGATCGTAAGCATGCGGTCTACACAAGCAATGAATATTGGACATAAGAATGCGGACTACGCAAGTAGAATATGCAGTCTACGCAAGTAACGAAATTGAACAATCATGCAGTCTACGCAAGTAATGTAATCAACATGCGGTCTACGCGGGCAAAACGTGCGGTCTACGCAGGCGATGAAATTGAACAATTATGCGGTCTACGCAAGCAATACATGCGGTCTACGCAAGCAATACATGCGGTCTACGCAAGTAATGAAGTTGATTAAATATGCGGTCTACGCAAGTAATGAAATTAACATGCGGTCTACGCAAGCAACACATGCGATCTACGCAGGTAATGAAATTGATTAATCATGCGGTCTACGCAAGCAAAACATGCGGTCTACGCAGGTAATGAAATTGATTAATCATGCGGCTTACGCAAGCAAAACATGCGGTCTACGCAGGTAATGAAATTGATTAATCATGCGGTCTACGCAAGCAAAAAGAGTGATTACAAACATGCGGTCTACGCAAGTAATGTAATTAACATGCGGTCTACGCAAATAATGAAATTGATTACAAACATGCGGTCTACGCAGGTAATGTAATTAACATGCGGTCTAGTCTACGCAAGCAATACATGCGGTCTACGCAAGCAATACATGCGGTCTACGCAAGCAATACATGCGGTCTACGCAAGCAATACATGCGGTCTACGCAAGCAATACATGCGGTCTACGCAAGCAATACATGCGGTCTACGCAAGCAATACATGCGGTCTACGCAAGCAATACATGCGGTCTACGCAAGCAATACATGCGGTCTACGCAAGCAATACATGCGGTCTACGCAAGCAATACATGCGGTCTACGCAAGCAATACATGCGGTCTACGCAAGCAATACATGCGGTCTACGCAAGCAATACATGCGGTCTACGCAAGCAATACATGCGGTCTACGCAAGCAATACATGCGGTCTACGCAAGCAATACATGCGGTCTACGCAAGCAATACATGCGGTCTACGCAAGCAATACATGCGGTCTACGCAAGCTTGACCCGAACAAAGGCATGGAAGGTGCGTTGACCGCAAGGGGAGTTTTGCTGGTATCCATTCCGACACTTGGCTACCCTGTCATTCTACGTTTTACTTTCCTTTTTACTAGTAGTTTAAGCACATTGCACTGCCTCGGGCAGGTTTTATTTTTTCTCAAAATTACGCATTTTGCAAAGCACGTGACGGGAATGAAACAACCATTTTATTCAAAAGATGTTGTATTTGTAAACTTTCTATGCATCGCATCGTAAGGTATCACACCACAATGTGAACGAAATCGAACTCATTTTGAACACCGAGTATTCGCATCGTAATAATCAGGCAGTGAACCGATTTACAACTCAATAAGCAAATGTACAAAGGCATGATAGGACCAAACAAGCGTGAGTACAACTCGATAAATAAATCAAAAACTCAAAGAGAGTGAAATACAACTCGATAAGCAAATGTTCAAAAACTCGACAAGCAGACAGGCGTGACTTCGCAAGAATCGGTCACCGAGGGAGGGATCAGAGGTGATGGAGTTCCCCAATCCTTAGCATAAACAGCTCAGGGAACTAGTAGGAAGCCCATCGGCCAGGGGGAGAGGCCATCGGCCACGAGGAATGGCCATCGGCCAAAAATTTGTTCGGTCGGCAAAATATGATGGCCGGTCGGCAGAGTTTTTGGCCGGCCGGCTATGAATGAGGGAATCACCAGAATGTTGACACCTGTCCTCCACCTAACCTTATCTCCTACAAAAGACCCCAACTTCGCAGTTTTTCTCAATTCCACACTGATTTGCTCTGATGGAAAAGTTTCTTGCTCAAAATCTCATAGCTTGGATTGCTAGCTTGGATGGCTCGGAAAAGTTGAATTTTCAGGGCTTTGGCATAAATACACTATTCACTCTGGGTCGTACTCCGTTGCACCTCCCGTTCCTTCAAGCCGCGGCAAGGTTTTGGAATCCAGTGACGCATGTCTTTAGCTTCGTTGGGCAAGAGATATGTCCTACCTTTGAAGATTTCCGAGCCTTAATGGAGTCCGAGCGCGACGAGGAGCTCCTGCCCCAACTTAATTTTGGCCATGCCCAATCCTTAGGGCGAATGTGTGGACTCAGCATGCGTGACGCTCGGTCTCTGATTTGTGACGGGATGCTGGACATTCCGAGTTTGACCGATCGATTTTCTGATGCTGGTGATCGCAACGACCATCACTGGCAAGGCTTCCGGCGACACGCCCTCTGTTTGTGCATGCTATCCCATTTTCTATTCGTCTCAGGCTCTGGAGGGGCTAGTGTCCGGCTGATTGAGGTTGCCCAATGCTTGAAGGAGGGCAAGAGCTGTATTGCCATGACTCTGGCCGAGACGTTAATGGGCTTAGACGCCTTTTATCGTCATGAGACGACCAGATTAGCAGGGAGTCCACTACTACTACAGGTAATGTTTCCCACCCAATCTCGCATTTATGCATTGCTCACATCACCCGGCCCTCAAGCTCGGTCTTTTCTCACAAAACCCTATTCTCACTTTTCTCTCCTCGTACATCTCTCTATTCTTTACTCTCTCATTTTTCATCCCTCCCCAGGTGTGGTTGATGGATAAACTGCAGGTTGTGGACTCTTGCCCAGCATATTCAGCTCGCGGCTACTTCTTCTGGCACCGTCTAGTCAATGCCTTGGATGAGGGATGGTGGTTCGCTTGGATGTGCCGCTTGTCCGCAGACCGTATTGCTTAGCGGTGCCCTTGGCTGAGCCTTCCGGCAATGAGTTACAATATGCCCCGGCAGACTGGGATTCAATTGGTTGGTCTCACTCACTGTGTATTCTACTTCCCATTTCGGATTCGACGCCAATTTGGCCATGATCAGACCTGCCCGCCAGCGGGGATAGAGTATCCTGCTGCATTCCCAGCCCGAGGCACATAGCTTGCTTGGCAGGCCACTGCGTGGAGGATGAGAGAACTCCTGGCCCCTGCTCCTACTTTCAGTTGCACCTTGTCTGACGAGTGCGTGGATTGGCTTAATGAAGAGGCACAGATTGGGTCCAACTTGGCATCAGAGGCTTCGACCGGCTCTGGGAGGGGGCGTAGGAGCACCTGACTTGACTATGCCCCAGATTTATTGCTTTATTAGTACTTTCAAGTTTTCTTTATGAATGTAATAAAAAAGCAACTTCGATTGTATGCAAGAGCAGGAGAACTCTGTTTTGAAATCAATGAAATTGAAGGTTGTGGTACTGAAAATTTTCCGCTTTGGTCCAAAAATGGTCAAAGTTGTAAAAAGATTATTTGAACAAAATCGGCTTTTATTAAAACTTCTCCAAAATCATTTTCGATGTGGATCAGAACTGGACACGCTTGAGATCTGTCACTGAGATGCACAACCCCAGATCCCTGCAACTGGAAAGTTGCCCCTAGTCTGAAGAGCACCGCAGCACTGCACAGCAACGGAAAGTTGCCCCTAGTCTGAAGAGCACTGCGCTGGAGGTCATAACCGAACCTTTGAATGCTGAATAGGCAAAGATGGCCGAAACGATCAAATGGACAAAGTTGATCGGGGAAGTGTTATGGCTGAACTTCAGGATGAAGTTGCCTACGTATCCCAAAGATGGGAATCAAGCCTTACGGAGTTCAGGCTTAGGTTCACTCGGGTATTTTCACTCTCCTTTTGCGCTCTAACTTTTGCCAAAGCCGCCCTTTGCGGGTTTTCAGCCTTGCGAGCTCAGTTTTTATATTTTCACACCTGTCCTCCACCCAACCTTATCTCCTACAAAAGACCTCAGCTTC